AGTGAGAGTCCAGTGCTTTTTTCAGTCTTCAGCAATCTCCAACCAACTTTTATTTATTAATGAAGAAAAAGAAATAACTTACTTTGTGAACAATATTTATATGCCGCCACATTGGAATGGTGGCATTCACTTGTAGATGAAGTTGATAACGAGGAATCTTGTTTGTTTTTCTTATTCTTCATCTTCGTCTTCGTCTTCTCATTATTATTCTTCGCCTTCGTCTTGGTCTTCTGAATTTCTTTGTTTTTCAAAGAATTTTCAATTAAATAACCAGTGTTGGGCAAAGGAGAAGAAGAAGTGCGATTGGTTGATGTGGTTCGTTTTTTTTTCGATGTACACATTTTATGATACCATGAATGACGACATTTCGACTTTTTAACGTACAAATCATGACTGGTATTCTTTGTTTGACTGCATTTATTCAATGCTGATTGAGGAGTAGAACTATTTAAATAGAAGTTAACAGATGCAGGTAATATATATAATATTCATATAGTAGGGTACAAAATGGTTTCATCAATAATGATAAAAACGTTTATAATGTGTGGACTATGGTGTTGCGCATGGACACACACAACTTCTCCATAGCTTTTGGATAAAATAATTAAACTTTTCAGATTGAGTTACAATTTGCATGTATTTTTTGACTTTATCTCTGTTAGGTTCGTTACTAGGTAGGTTTAAAGCTATTCCGAGTTCACCTTAGTCGATAAACGTGAACGAGGCAATTACCAGCGTTCAGGAGTCTTGATTATCGTAGAAAGTGTATTCTGCAAACACCCAGCAAGCACAATACAATCAAGCACGTCCTTGGGACAGTTACGAAAAGAGCACACTAAAATACACAACAGCCAATCACAGCCATGGATTTTCCTGGTGGAAAATGTGTGATCTCAAGGTCCACTGATCAGCCCATGCTGGTAAACGTGAAATCCAAGATAAGGTATTTATCAAGCGAGTTCTGGGGATTTAACATCCCCAACACGAATCAAGGACCTTCGGGATTAAGCACGTTGTATCAGTTGCTTTGACTGGAATTTTCAGCGATCTATACGTTTATATTAGGCGACCATTCGCCTTCAGCTCCCGATATTATTTACAAAAAGAGAAATTTAACTCATTTTTTATGCTCAAGGACCAGACAAATATGCACTAAAGGCACACAAGATAAGGAGCCAAATATAATCTGACGAACGATTCTGTAGAAGGAATCCTCCATGTAGGTAATCCAAAACCAAATCAACAGTTTGAAAGTACACTCACTGTTTCGAAGAAAGTTTTACATTATGAAGATTGAATTTAAGACAGATGTCATAGTTGAATATAAAGATCTTTGTGAAAAAAGTCTCATCCAACAGAACTATCATTGGTTATTTTCAGCAATAAACTTGTTCAACATCGCTGTTCGATGTATACAGTAGTTACCTACCAACTCAATTCGATAAGGCATAACTATCTATTTGTACTTACTTACTTACTTACTTACTTATGCACTTACTTGGTTTGAATTGATTTTCCTGGTTAGCGTTATTTTTAACGAGTTAGTTTTTTAAGGGATAAGGGTCGTTAACCCCACACCAAACGCTCCTCCTTTATCCAGGCTTGAGACCGACAGTAGCCTCAGAGAGACTACAGGTGGAGTTTAAGTATTTCTAGTCGTGCAAGAAAAAAGCTAAATATGTTGTAAACGACGTGTGCAATTCATACACACCATGGTTATAAGTTAGACTGTTGGGGATGTTCGATCCCGAGAACTCGCTTGATGAATGCCTTATCTTGGATTTCACGTTTGCCAGCATCGGCTGATCAGTTGACCCTGAGATTTTTTTCCCACCAGGAAAATCCATGGCTGTGATTGGCTGTTGTGTATTTTAGTGTGCTATTTTCGTAACCGTCCCAAGGACGGCTCTATGATGTACAAATAAAAGAGATTTGTGTACTTGATTGTATTGTGATTTCTGGATGTTGTAGAATATACTTTCTACGCTTACCAGGATTTCTGTTTTATAGCTTGGGATTGAAGGAAGCCTATCTGGACGCTGGTAATTGCCTCGTTCTTGTTTATTGACTAAGGTGAACTCGTATTAGCTTCAGGCGTACCTACTGACGAATATAACAGTTCAAATCCCTTGGGGTGCAGGAGTCGTGGATGTGCATTGCTGAAGAGTCCCATACCAGGACGAAACGGCCGTGTCCAGTGCTTCCAGGTTTCTAATGGTGGCCTAACATCGATCGGTTTATTGTTTTTAATAATGTGATACAATAAGTGGAATAATTTTTTAAAAAAATTCAGAATTTCACTTCGATTATTTAGAAACTTATTACCAAACTGATATTTTATATGCAACCATGTAATTCAATTAATCAGCACTCATCGAGGTTAACAGAACAAGCTGCGAATCAGAGTGGCGAAATTCGAATACATCACTTTTATTTAAAGTTTGTGCTAATGATGTTGCGTTTAGAAGAAGAGCAATGAAAAAGCTGCAAAACCAAAACATCCTCTAGATTAGAGAACAAAACACCAAGAACACACAATCATCCACCTAAACTACAAAATTTCACCACCATATCAATGCTCGATGAATTCAGTAAGTGTGCAACAGTAACAGAAAGTTACTTACCTTTTTCTATTTGAAGTGGATAATTGAGAAGTATCACCAATCATCGATTGAATGTAACTAGAAGCAAATTCAGGTTTATCTGAATTACTTGTTGACAGGCAACTGGATAATTTCGTTTTCAAATTATTACTACTTTTTTCATTGTCAGTAATATCAGAAATTGTCTGAAGAAAAAAGACGTTTAGACATTATTATTACAACAAGTCAATATAAGTGAGAAATGTTCATTATTCGACTACATCCACAAATAATTGACAAGAGTAGAAAATTTGTTGAATTACACAAAACCACCATGCAATAATTGTTATAGTGTATAGAATGATAAACCTCAAAAACACAGACACCATACTTATTGAAAGATAATTCTAATTTGATGAAATTTGAGTGAAATGAAAACACTCATTACATAACCGTTATTATTATCAGTAGTGTGGTATGTACTATCTCTCAGATTAACATATAGTAACGATCTTATACAGTCCACTTAGCAAATGGACGTCGGGTGTTCTAGGTTGACGCGTATTGTTCAACTGATTTTTGCGTTCAGAATATTGGACGGTTGATAGAGGGACATAGATTGGATTAAAGTATGAATGCGTTGTTGCACTCTGATTGGCTCTTCGTATCCAATCAGCGCTAATCGATACTGAGGGAATATTCTAGGATCTTCTTACGTTAAAATTATAAGTATACTAATGTTTTTGGACTTCTCAGACCGCCATCTAACCTTGTTATTCGATGCTCACTGCTGATGAGTCCCATAACAGGACCAAACGGTCGTCCAGTGCACCCAGGTTTATAATGGTGGTCTAACAATGATTGATTGATGATTTCAACTGTGTAAAAACACAAACCTTCAAAAAACTCTGCCCCAAAATAATCTCTTCCCCTGTTCAACCGTGTTCTGATTTAGGGGACAGTTTTGAGTGAATCGGTGTGCGGGAATCCTAAGCATTAGGAATCACTGGCTTGTATGTAATAAGAGAGAATTATAACAAGGGTGAAGGGATGAATTCGTTTAGAGTACTAGTCGGATGCTAATCGACACTTTTTTTAAAAAGTTCATTGATTATTTTTCGCATAAGATTTTTTTCGATAAACAAGTTGATATGTTTTTGAATATAACAAAGCACGTAAATTAATGAGTTGAATAAATATGAATCGCCTGAATAAGGTTCATAGTAATACATAATTCGTGAGAAGTCAAGAGAAGTGAAGTTCAACTCTGTTTTGATGTAAAGCAGTGCCGACCAAAGACAATGGACGAGATTGCACAAGACTGTGGATTGATGAGGGCTCAGTGGTCTAGAGACTGGAGATCCTGGATTGGATTCCCGTGCGAGCCGGTATCGTGAACGCACACTACCACGGACGAGTTTCATACTATCGGGACGAAACGACCGTCCAGTGTATCATCAGGTGTCTTCAAACGATAGTCTGGCATTGATCGATTCGCGATTCCAATCCGCAAAACCCGTTTAATGATAATCACTCAATGAAAGCAATAAAACATCACTTTATATTAGATTTTTCCTGAGAATTTATAACAACATTCAACGCAAAACATACACACATACTTGATAATGAATTGGAGATGAGAGAGTTTTCTCTAGAAAAGAATACTTTTCATGATACATTGATTCATCATAATATTGTGGTTTCCATTTATGATGACATAATCTTAATGAACATGGTGGCATATTATTGTCATAGGAAACATGCGATGAATTTTCACGATCACGTTCAACCTGTTAAAAAAGAAAAATATAAGAGAAGAGACGAGACGAGACGAGATAAGACGAGAATAATTCATTGTAAAACAGAATAATGTTGTGTAGTGTCAACAAAAATCATTGGACGAACACCACTGCCTACAACATCTACGACACCCGTGTGTAGAACAAGTACAAATTGATTGAGTGTAAGATCAAGGGTGGGCATGTATGTTTCTTCGTCCCGGTTGATCGATTCTGATTCATGAAAGTGATCATGGTTAACACTGATCATAGATATCATCCAGAAGACCGAGAAATAAGTAGTCTATATTTAGTTGGCGATAACGCATAACTTCGTATGTACCTATATCAGTTCAACTTGTCATGCCACATTCACACACAGAGATCGAATTGTCAGTTCACATCCCACAGTGGTAGAGATAATAAAAGTATTGTGGTGTGAGCTACTTGTAAGTAGTATACGACGTAAGTGTCAACGTAATGTCTGGCAGCGGAAGATGGAGGAAGATCAAGAAAGGAAGAGTGAGAACACAATGGAATTTGCATGAAACGCATTATTAGTGACAATGGATTGATGTTTTGCAACAGGAACAGTCCAGTTTGATAATATGATGAACTGATATTTTGCAAATTAACGATTTACGATATGGTTTTCCTATTTTTCTGAGTAACTATGTAATTTTCGCTAAACACAGTCCGGTTGCCCCACCTGTGTTCTCGTTCACTACAGTATAAGCAGTAATAGGAAAGATTAGGGTTTGCATAAATTATTTAAGTAGTATAATCCGTTTAAATAAATT